ATCAAACAATCTGAAAGGCAGGAACAAAGTGTACAGCAGATTTCTTTAGCTTTGATTATCACAATAGACAGTTTATATAGGGAAACAATAACAAATAGTATTATACAATTATCAAATTTTACAGGGTTTTTTCCCTCTTTTTTAACATCTCAAAATGTTCACTTAAAGGTGATAGATCAAATCTTGTCCTGTTCTTGCCATGTTTTATAATCTCACAATGTTTTATGATTATCTACATATGGTCGTATAATTGCAGTCTTTTAACTAGGACAGTAAGTTTCTAAATACAATCCGGCCAATATCATGGTGTTTTTAAGCCAAGTGGTTAAAAGCGTTCACTCAAGTCACGCCGAAGGCCGGGTTCGAGTCCACACATGAGTACAATGTGTGAAGCCTATTTCTGGTGTCCCCTGCTGTGATATTGCTGGAATATTGCTAAAAGCGGTGTAAAACTAAACACACTCACTCTTTCTCGTTGTGTCATTGTTCGTTATTGTCGCTTTACATGATTATGTCAAATAATTCTTTAATGATTTGAATATGTTAAGAAATTGTCACTCACTCTAAGGGTGAAATTTGTCTGTACCCCTTAACAATTCACAGGGTATGGTTATGTCTTCTATGTCTCTATGTAAGTACTAATTATGCATTTATATCATTACACTTGCAGGGGTGTAGCTACCATTAGAAGAAAAAGCCCGGGCTTACACATGATTGTTGCTAAAAGGTTGGGCAACCCCCCAATCCTATCTGAATATAAAGCTTTGCAACCTATCAGGCTTGCACAAAAAATTGGCTTACTACGCACCTGACTTTTGCAGATACATATGTATATATAGTTAGTGGAACTTTTGGCACCATCCATGAGTGTATTTGACAAATATGGGTTCAGTATGTAATACCATTATGACCATCCATCTGACATTGTTAATGAGTATATATGTGACTGCTTGTCAATGTAATGTTACGTATTTATGAAAGTTGGTATTTATTTTGAAGTATATGCTAAGGGCATATGTTCTGACTACCAATGCAAATATATCTGCCATACAAAAGAGATGACCTGTTTGAACAACCCCAGTTTTAGAGACAGAATTGATCAATGTCATTAAGCAACCCAGGTGGAATAATTGATGGGATGATGTCCGCTGGTTTCTCCGGTATTTTTTTCAAGAAATTGGATACACATCATTCATCTCTTTGACACTTGTGAAACAACATTGTAGAGATCCCTTAATTACTTTTATTTTTACATTCACAGAGATGCAACAGGATTCAGACTTAATTTGTTCATTTTTTTATGTGATTATTTTGTAAATGCTGCTTTGTCATCTTCGATTTCCATAGTTTCCTCTTTATTTCTTCACTCACCCAACTACAGCAAAATTTGCACTCAGCTTGACATTTACACTAAATCCTTGCTGACTTTCAGCTACATATTTTGGTTCTGAAATAAATTAATCCAAACATGTTGTGTTGACCACTGTTTGGCTGCTCTGTGGGTCACCAAGTTCCTGTGTACAAGGTAATGAATATAACATGACAGTGTGTCTGTAATTGATCCATGTATAAATAATTGTCCGCTACAGTTTGCGAAAGGTTGCTCAGTCGTGACCAGTAATGGGATGTCTATAGATCTTTGTTTAACAGTAGCGAGAACTATGATTGATTTTAATTAATGTTTTGTGACTGGTTGACCAATGAAATCCGTAGGGAGTCCTGTTAGTAGTATGACATATGTTTTATGAATGAAGAAGGTTACTGTGTGACGTATAATATGAGGTTGTTGTTACTTTGACATACAGATATGATATATCACTGGATGGGTAGAACAACCTTGTGTGTGCTTTGGTACTTCATGCCCTTGGTTCATGGCCCCCGAACATGGGGGAATTCTAGGAGGGATGTAGTAACCTCCACTTGTCGAAGGAGGAAATGTCACCGGATGGGTAATACTTGGACAATAACTAATGAGTGACGGGGGATGACAGATTATCTTTCCAGAGTTATAGTAATTACGTAATTCTCGAGCCTTGTCATTCCCTTTATGAGTTGGTTATTGTTTATATTACCCATATCAGTTTTCCGTCTAGAAAATGCTAAAATGAAAACAGCAGTTTCTCTATAAGGAAACCCGCGATGTGGGAAATCTCCATATCACTACACTTGTGATGTGGCTTCATTTCATTGGCTCTAATCGGCCAATCAATGTTCACCAAATGGTGTAACCTCCCTAGGGACTTACAGGAAGAATACTTATGTCTTCCTTCCCATATGTGTAATAAAACCATGTGAGTGCTTCGGCTCTTCATGCCCTTGGTTCATGCCCCTCGAACACAGGGGCATTCTGGGAGGGATGTAGTTCCAACACAACCTCTATGTGTCGAAGAAGGAGATTGAATGGATTTGTTGGTTAGTTAACTCAGCTGGTCAGTTAACTCAGCTGGTCAGTTAACTCAGTTGGTCAGTTATCTCAACTGGTCAGTTAACTCAGCTGGTCAGTTAACTCAGCTGGTCAGTTAACTCAGTTGGTCAATTAACTCAGCTGGTCAGTTAACTCAGCTGGTCAATTTACTCAGCTGATCAGTTAACTCAGCTGGTCAGTTAACTCAGTTGGTCAGTTAACTCAGTTGGTCAGTTGTCAGTTAACTCAGTTGTCAGTTAACTCAGTTGGTCAGTTAACTCAGCTGGTCAGTTAACTCAGCTGGTCAGTTGTCAGTTAACTCAATTGGTCAGTTAACTCAGCTGGTCAGTTGTCAGTTAACTCAGTTGGTCAGGTCAGTTAACTAAGTTGGTCAGTTAACTCAGCTGGTCAGTTGTCAGTCACAAGTTGGTCAGTTAACTCAGTTGGTCAGTTAACTCAGCTGGTCAGTTAACTCAGTTGGTCAGTTAACTCAGTTGGTCAGTTAACTCAGCTGGGCAGTTAACTCAGTTGGTCAGTTAGCTCTGTTTCCTCAGTCTCACTGTATCAGAATTGTATGGGTAGATGCTCATGTCCATCACGGGACTATCTGGTCCAGGTGCAGTTATTTACAGACTGTCGTCATATTACTGGAATATTGTTGCATACAGCATTACTCATCCAACAAGAAGGTGATTTTACTTGTTTACTTCCTGACTGTCTGTGCTTGTATGTATGTATACACACTATGTGAATGACAACCTGTGTATAGAATTGATCACAATTGATACCAACCAACTTGATACCCTCGTACACCGGCGATATGGGTGATGACTTTGACACAGACATGCACTTCAGTATCTGTTGCTTGTTGAAGGGCCAGACTAATGACTGACTGGTGGCTACATTATGTTACTTCACGCATTGCTTTCACTCTCACTCACTCACTCACTCTCACATTAACACAGACCAAACAATCTATTTGAAATAATAGAATCCAATTTGGAACCATTATCAGTGTAACCCTGCTAACTTTCACATAGAAGCTGTTAATGTTAACTTGAACTTGTCCTTATTGGAATAGGATTAATTGGAAGTATTAATGATCACAAGTGAACTATTGTCCAATCAAACGCAGCTTTGTAACCAGGTTGACAGAACATTTCTTGTAGGACCAAACATGACTGAATGAGACCATGTTCAGGGGAGAGACTTATAAAGAGTGTTCTCAACTAGTGGATCTGGCTAAATTTCACACTCACAAACATGGCTCTTTCCATTCACATTGGAACACAAAATGTACAGTGCTGGAATATTACCAGCAATAGGAAGGCATTCCTGTTTTGTTCTAGTATTTCAGATAGATTTTCAGGTCTGTAATAGATAAATTGACTCCACTCTGTGAAATATGCCATTTGAATTTTTTTATTGAAAGCTAAAAGAAAACAGTTCATGTACATTGAGATTGTTATAACAAAGTGTACATTTGATATCAACAAATATTTTTAAGGTATTTCAAACATGCACTAGAAGTATATGAGAGTGACAGTGTGTCACACAAGAAATATTATGCATTGTCTTAAACATGGTCTCATGATGCATTATGCATGATGATTGGACGTTACTGGTGGACATTTCTAGTCGGAAAAACAATGTGAGATCTTCCACCCACGTATGGCGACCTCACACCCCCTCAGTTCAGGTATCAGCTGTCCTTATACTTGGCATGATTCTCATTCTAATGTTTTTTTTGTCTGAAGTGGCAAACATCTGAGACTGGTGCCTCTCCTCGTACATCAAGTAGACATTATCTCAAATCCATCACACTCACTGGTGACTTTCCAACACTTTTTGTTAATGATGCAGAAATAAATTTTCGAAAAATGGCCTTATCTCCATAATTTTATAAATTTTTTTGGTGTCATAATAAAGAAATATATCCCACCAAGTCTCATTATGAGTACTTAGTTCCTGCTACTCCTGAAAACAGTTCCGAGAGAATCCCATTTCTGGTCATGTCAGAAATACCTTTTATACAACCACTCCACTACCAGATCAGGAAAGTGGCACTTGGAAAGTGCTTTCTAAACATGTAACCTTGATATAGTTAACACAGGGTGTTCCAACAGAAAGTTATGGAGTGTACAGGTGGATCTATAAATTCATCATCCTGCTCGCACTTCTATTCTTGCGAGGATGTGAATGGAAAAGATGGTGCCTCGCCATTGGATGGTACTACCTTATCTATGGGCTACTGACTACTATCTATTGGCTATCTATTTCACATCCAAGAATGTTCAGTTTTCAAATTTTTAATTGAGAACTGCATCAAATATATTTCAGTACACACATATTTCTCAAGAAGTCTGCTATCTGATTGACTATGACTATAGTTCGTTTTGCTCAAATGCGGACCGATGAATTGCAATCTAACTAATAAACATATAACACTCAATGAAACGCTTATCATAATAAAAACATCAGACCAACTCTGTGCGATTTTTGCAGAATTTATGTCCTAATAATAAAAAAGTTGTTTAACAAACTATCATTAAAATATTGACACAGTTCACTATTTGTTACGAGGGAGGAGTGCAGAGAAAGGGACACCCAGGTGTACGAGAAGCACGAGAACAAGTGCCGACAAAGTTATTGAGTCATTTACCTGTATTGTGCTGTCTCCATCTTTTCTCGTTCCTCTCTTTGCACTCCTCCCTCATAACAAATAGTGAACTGTGTAAATATTTTAATGATAGTTTGTTAAACAACTTTTTTATTATTACGACATTAATTCTTCAAAAAACTCACCGAGTTGGTCTAATGTTATGATTATGATCAGTGTTTCATTGAGTAATATATTTTTATTAGTTTTCGAGTTAGATTGGAATTCATTAGTCCGCTTTTGAGCCAAACGGACTATAATATCAACCTTTTGTTAGTAATTTCTTTAGTCAGAAGACGTCAGCTAAAGGCTGTTCTAATGTGATGATTAAGTGATTTCCATGATCTTTGTTTTTGAACTTTTAATGATATTGTTTCTCATTGGTTTGCTATTGAAAACCATAGGATGTTTTGATATGTGGATCTACTTAAGATCTGTCTAACAATGTCACAAAATAAAGAAATATAAATTCTAAAAGATTACTTTAAAAATTCATGAAAATATCCAATAAACAACTTCTCTAATCTCTAGTATGTAGCTAAAAGAGATAACATTAATGTGTTTGTTGAAGCAAGACACTGAACGCCATGCCTAACTATACTAACAGGCCTAACTATACTAACAGGTGGCTGTCTTCCCCAATGCTCACATGGTTGGGCTAGAACTTGCCTCCAACTCCTCTCATTATCTCACTGTCTTGTGATGTGTGTAAATGTCAGCGTAAAGTGCTGAGTGGACGTTGTATTGATTGTCCACAACTGCCTGGAGTAAATGCCAGAATTGTCTGTTGATATATCCACACAACATCCATATTTTAAAGTAGTTTCTCTCTAACTTTGATACTTATCAAAACAACGTCTAAATGTTCATACACAGCCTCTTCTGCACACAATCCTTTTGTATTTTAAAAGAGCTTGTAAGTACTTTACAAAGAGATTTTCATCTTTCCACAAATCTTTGATGTTTCAAATACTAATCACATGTGTTTGAACTATGATGTTTCTTATCCAGTATCTCACCAGGGGGATAGTTTCAAGATGAAACATTGTTTTGAACTTTTATGGATATGGAAAGTGTCAACTGAATATTGTACTAGTGATGTGAAAACGTACCACCAACAAATGGCTGACAACTAGCCATGTGACCATGTGTCATTGTGTCGACTGCATCATTAACCTTTACATTTAGAATCTGCTCTGAAAACAACGCTCCTAGGGTGCAAACACTGTATTAATGATTATGTATCGTGTCTAAAAATTGCACACTGAATTCCCACCTGACATTAAACATGGCCACCATTATTTCTTCATCATTCAGGTGAGCTACAGCCTTGTGGCTCTATTTCCTTTTTGTGCCTGCAAGGGTTATTGTTCTGGTGGGTTCATGTCCTAAAACATGGCTAAAGTGAGCTAATTAGAATGATTATTTCTAACTACAAAATCTACATATCAGCAAATCTGTTGCCTAGTATTGTTTATCCTTCTTTTTATTATACATGTGCATCTGTGAAAGTCAGCAGGAGTGTGCATTTTAGTGTGGTCTTATGTTGTAAACAGGTGTTGAAATGTATTTTTTATTCATATGAGCTCAGGTCATACGATAGCGTTAATAACTTTCTGAGACTTAACCTAATGTATTAATTCATGCATTACCCATTGGTCAGAGATAGCATCCCTTGTCCGTCTGTGACTTAACCTTTGCTCAGTTTCAAATCTGTATGTGTATATTAGTTTCATGTTTGCGAAAAGTATACCCTGTAGACTAAGTACACAAACATGTAGTATGATAGATACTATGATTAGGATACACAGTGATGGTAAATTGTCTTGGGCATTAAGATTTGTCATGCAGAGTTGGGTCCCTTAGTCATACCAGGATATACTTAGTAAATTGTGATGATGATATGGTTCCTTGCACCCTTGCAGCTGTCAGGATATATTTGAACAGTATAAAAAAAGTACTTTTTATACCATGTTTTGATATGAACTGTCAGTATTGATTTTCTTTACATGTCAAGTACTTGGGTGGAGATGAAGTTGATGCCAGGTGAAAAATCTGTCTATGAATTAACACTCAACACTGAAGTCTTGTGTCAGTGTTACCAACTAAAACATCTTCGTACACATCTTTCTGTGTCCTGATTTTGTGTCATTTGATTACAGTGTGATAAGTCTCATTTGCTGTTGTCAATAAGAATAATATTCATCTGTATACAGGCTACTTATGTCAGAATTAGGCAACTACCATCAGTGACAATCAGATACCTCATGTTTGTAAGATGGTCAGACTAGAGATTCAGTATCCTCAGAGTTTAGGAAACGCTATTCAGCAGATCCGTCTGCAGCGAAACATTCGGTGTTATGCTGCAGAAGTGCTGAGTAGAAGCAACTGATTGGATTACACTTGGTCCTCTTTGGATGGTGAATCACTGCACTTGTCAACTGAGGTTGTACAGGGTATGTTACCTGACTCCTTCTCGGTGGGTATTGCGATACTGTCCATTGTAAGCAGACGTGCAATTTGGGTGTTTCGGCGCTCCATAGTCAGCTGTAGGCTGCCTCTGCGTTTGGACCGAAAAAAAAGACACTTCTGGAAAATCCTTCTGTATCCAAGTTTAACATCTCTGAGACGAACTGCATAGACGGTGGGATCACAAAGAGTGTTCACAAGAATCAGGCAGTTGAGATAGCGCTGCAGACGCAGCAGGACACCAAAGTGCTTGATGATGGACTGTGGACTTTGTTTGGCTTGGATTGTAAGAATTATTTGCATCAGACATGTCGGCAGCCAGCAAACAGCAAATGTTCCAATGATGACCAAGGTTGTGAAGAGAGCCTTCCGATTTCGTATGTAATCCATTCGTGCTGATGGGCCTTGTCTGTGAACTCGTCGAACTTCAATGTAAATACGAAGATATGTGTACAGGATAATCAGGAGGCAGAAGAATGCAACAGCTATGATGAGATATTCCCCTTGGAAATCTCTTTTCTTCAGATAATGACAGTAATTCAGATCACTTTGACCATAGTTTCGGAAGTCAGACAAAAACACTGAAAATCCACAAAGAATTGCCAGCATCCATATGGTAACGATAAAGCAGTTGCCGCGTGCACGAGAGAGATATGCGGCATAATGAAGGGGTTTCATGATGGCAACATAGTGATCCACTGCCATTGCAAACAGGTTCAACAGGGAGATGACTGTTGCCATTGTGTAGAGTGCAAATGAAAATATTGTCATGCAATAGAATGTGAGGAATTCCTGTTGGGTGGAGTTTGGGTTGGGGTAGGGTATGAATACCTTTTTGACGGTGTGACTCACCACGCTGAAACTGAGCAGGATGTCAGACAGTCCAAGGCTGACAATCAGCTTGTTGTGTGTTACCATGCCATTTGGGCCCAGAATGGTTGCAAGAATTGAGAAGCAGTTTGCGACGATGGCAAGGAAACAGAGAATGAGACTGATGATAGCAACGGGTTGGCTGAGAATCAGCTGTGCTCGCTCCTCCAGGGTCCACGTCCTCATTATCCTCTGGGTCAGGTTAGATGTCAAAGTTGCCTCTGTACTCATGTTTAACATAGACATTGTGGACTATTGATGAAGTTTCAGAAGTCTGAGAGGAAGATATCTTCAAGAAACACCTATTGTCAAATCTATTTTTTTTATACTTTTTCAATGTTGCCAGGAGCAATACTATTGTTTGTTTCCTGAACACTGGAAATGTCTTTAGTCAGTATCCTTTGACTAAGATTCTGTCCAGTTTCCCATTATACAGACCATAGTTAATAAGCTGACATCTTGAATCACATCTAAAACACTTTCTGACAGTCTTTGGATCTTCTTTCAAACCGAACACTTTCTAGTCAGAAAAGATTCATATTTCTGTGGAAACTGATGTTTGAACCCCAGGTCTTTTTCATTTGAAATTTTCACTTTCCTTTGAGGCCTTAATTGTTTTGTAACATTCTTGTCCACAATCAAGTTTTGCTTGTGTCAACCATCAATATTGTCTGCCATCAGCATTTGCCACTGTCTAACTCTGCTGGTAACATGTTCCTGATGCTGGCCAATGTTATCCTAATGCTATACCTGTAACAGGCCACAGAGTTGGTGATGTCAATAGTTGAGTGCTCTGTCAGCGGCAGTCTCTTTGCCGCTGGTGGGAGGGAGGCTGGGACTGTATGATCTGGTGGGAGGGAGGCTGGGACTGTATGATCTGGGAGGAAGGCTGGGACTGTATGATCTGGTGGGAGGGAGGCTGGGACTGTATGATCTGGTGGGAGGGAGGCTGGGACTGTATGATCTGGTGGGAGGGAGGCTGGGACTGTATGATCTGGTGGGAGAGAGGCTGGGACTGTATGATCTGGTGGGAGGGAGGCTGGGACTGTATGATCTGCAGTCTCTTGGCCGCTGGTGGGAGGGAGGCTGGGACTGTATGATCTGCACGGTGATGACAGCAGGTATTATCTAATGGAAATGATGCCGGCAGACATGTTCTTTAGATCCAGATTCTTCCATGCTGCGCCCATCACTCAAAGAAACCTGCAGAGGAAAACAAGAAAATGTTAGGCTTGGATTAATTTCAGTTGCAAACACTTTTTGTATGAATATAAATTGAAAAAAGTTATCAACAAGTGTGATTTAAAATTTTATTTATTATGATACTGGAATTGTTAGAATTGTATTTTGCCATACATGTTTCATTGGTCAAGTCAATATTGATATTTATAGATTCTGCTAATGTGCTCTGTTCCAACCCATATTTCAGTGATGGCACTGTGACTCTAATACAGTCTATTCTTTGGCGTTGACTTATGACAGTCATCGCTTCAGCTTTGTGGACAGGGCACTGAATCACTTTTCTCATCATTATAGTTATAAAGTGGTGGTGTGTCTTCTTGTGCATAGAGCACAGGTCACAAATCAGGCAAAGTTAAGCAACGTTGGTCACGAAGAGTCCTTGGATGGGTGATCGTGTTTGGCAGCTTGACTCCTGAGAGTTTCTAGGACTTCTGTCTTGCCCCATAATGAAGCACCTTTGTGGTCTAGCTCACCTTAGGCAAATGAGTTTGTTCAAAATTGCCTATGTTCACCCATCAGAAAATAGGTACCTGGTGGTTTAAGTCAGATGACTATTAACCTTCTAGCGCCTGACACGCAGCTTGGGTTATCTGGGGTAATAATGTTCATCATATTGTATGTGCTTAGAGCTTGTCTCTGCAGCGTCGCGATCAGTGCTATGTAAGTGGCCAATTATTATTATTATTATTATGCCAAGGAATTCACTCCATCTGTCTGTCCTTCCATCTATCTGTCCGTCTGAAGAATTTTCATTCAACCCACAATTTGAAAACTATTGGTTGGATTGTTTTCAAGTTTGGGGACCATTTTCTTTTGGTCAAAAGAAGAGGTGCAGTTCAAATTTTGATTTTGATGTTTAAATTTTTCAAGACTAACACATGTGTACAAATTTAAACAAAGAATGGTTTATTTAAACAATAACTTGAAACTTATAGGTGAAAATGTTTTCAAATAAGGGATACAGCTTCTTTGTTTAAAGAAGAGGGAGAGGTACTGTGTAAAGTTTGCTTCTGTGTTTCTCATTTTGCCAAGAGGTATGTCAGTTTGCATATTTTGAACATTAAAAAACAATGTGAATTTTTGTTCAACCAATAACTTGAAAACATTTGAATGGATTGTTTTCAAATTTAGGGATCATCTTCCATATCTACAGAAGAGGTGCAGTGTAAAGTGTTATGATATTATTAATTTTTAGAGAATTATCACAATTTCCATCATGATTTGTTTCCAGATTGTTGTAGTCTCTCTCTGAGTGGGTGAGTTTAGTTTTAAGCCGCACTCAGCAACATTCCAGCTATATGGCTGCGGTCTGTAAATAATCGAGTCTGTGCCTGACAATCCAGTGATCAACATCATGAGCATCGATCTGCGCAATTGGGAAACAATGACATGTGTCAACCAAGTCAGCGAGGATGACCAGCCGGAATCATTTATGAGGGGCATTTCCTTATCTACCTTTTCCACACTGATGCGTTAGTATATGGGAAATGAAACATCCAGGTTCAAATATATTTATTGATTGCAGCTACTCTTGTCATCCTACGTGTCATATTTTCCTCGTCATTTTGTTTGGATGTTAGTGTAGCAGCCATAAAACTTCTGACTCCAATGCTGGGATTCAAACCACAGACCTCCTGATCCTAAGTTTGACATGTCCAAAGAGGTCAACCCTGTCAGCGAGCTGACAAGAAAAGGATGACATGTATGACTCCATACCCTTCTACATAAGAGCTACCTCGCATGAGCTGGTGTCTTCAAATGACATAGAGGGTAATGTCCGAATAACTCCCCATTCCTGAATAATAATGGAGCTGAGGTCCCGGAGGGGCCGAGGCCCAATATTTTTGAGAAATGGAGAGTTAAACGAGGAAGCTACCCTACTTATATTACATTCAAAGTATTGGTAATTTCTGTTATCAATGTCAAAATGAAGCGAACTATCAAAGTCTTACATTTGAAACTGGTGCACAGCCATGTGTAAAGCATTCATTTATTGATTGCTATGCTTTATGTTGCAGTTGATTGAATCAGCATGTGTGAATTTGCACATGTGCTTTGACTAAAATTGTAAATAGAAATGATTTTTTTTTCATTTTCAATAGGCAGTTAAATATTTCATTTAAATATGGTCTATAATCACCGTTAAACAGATGTATAAACATTTGGATATAGCAGGCATTTAGCTAGCCTTGCTAAAAATCTCTACTGAAGGCTAAGCCCATGGATGTATAGTAATTCTATCCTTTTAAGAGGCAAGGCTAGATAAGCGGACAGTACCAGTCTGTTAGAGGGATATTTATATGTTTTAGAAAGTATCATTTAAACTATTAATTATTACCTTAGAGACTTGTGCAAGTCTACCATTTTGCTAATGGTTCCTTTATATCATCTTCATCAGAAGTATTGATTTGGGGACTGTTTCAAGTTTCTATATATAGAAATTTGAACACACTTGGTTGAATTCTTTGTATTTTTGTTAAAAACAACTGAGGGGTATTTTATGGCAAGTAATCTTTGATAATTTTCTATTGTTTGCAATGCCACTATTTGATCAAGAAACATAACTAAATTTTGCCTTTGTAAATATATTTTTTGTGAGGCACTTTCCTAAAACACTGAAAAATTGAATCTGTTCTTTACGAATCAGCATGTGCCAGGAGTATGAAGGCTTAGTCTTGTGGAATAAGAAATGAAGGAGGTTACTTGCTGTACAGATCTGGTCAGCCACAGATCTGTGTGACATTGCTGTGGTTATCTGCTCAACTGGCTCACCCAACACTTAGCAGTGCAGTGGTGTCTGACAGCTGTCTATGTAAGTGGACTTATTTCATGCTGGTTCAGGCTGCTGACAGAACAGGTTAGGCTGTGATGATGCTGAGTATTCTCATGTAATGCTGTGGAGTGCACCATGGCCAGGAGATGATTCCTGTGACATATATGTACTGGCCTGTGTCTCAAGGGAAGCTGATTGCCAGCTGCACCATGTACCCCAGACAGCTTTAGATTGAGATCACTACACCATGGTCTGTCAGATACAGTTTCTCTTTTGACAAGTATTTTTCAAAAATAGTTTCAAAACAGCTCATAAGATAAATGGTACCTGACACAGTAATCTGTTTTAGACATATGTTTGTGATCAAAGTACCACAATACTTAGGGCTATAATGATGCATCGAAATATCAATGTATTGCAATTGTTGAGTCTCCGATAGCAATTAATCATGGTAGAAATGAAAAATTATCAATGCATAATATGACCTTAGGTCATCACCATAGAGTAGCCAATCACTGACTTGTATTTGCTCAATCATTCTCCAGTATACACCCCAACAAACCACTGTACCAAACTTGTTAACACAGATACTAAACGCAAACGTGACAGTTCATATTTCCATGAACACATTACAGGATTTACAGTGAACACAGCAATGTAGAAAGACTGCCTAGTATCTGTAACAAAGTTTTAGTTTTATGGACTTTGGAACTAAATCTGTTCTCTACCACTCGATGTCTGAGGACATACGTTTTTGTTTAAAGGTTCCAGATCAGATGTGAACAGTTTGTAAATATTTTATGTTTGATATTTTAAGTGAATTATTCTGAAAAAAGACAGTAACAGCTGGAGTGAGTGTGTTAAGGTGCGTGGGAGGACAGCCTTCAGTGACACTACACTAATGAACATGGACATGGTGCCTTCAAACCAAGGGAGAATCCATGCTTCAGACTTGAGATAAGCTGATGCTAGCCCAGTTGACATAGCAGTTGCTCTTCATGGCAAAGGCCAGAGTTCAAATCTCAACATGGGTGCAATGTTTGAAGCCCATTTCTGGTGTTCACCAGCATGTTGTGTATTTGCAAATGAAGTAAAACCAAACACTGGCTCACTGTATGACTGTGGAGGATTATAAACAAAGAATCAGTGTCTACATGTGATTGTATTTCTGTCCTCAGAGCAGAAACATGCTTTATGTTGTATGGAAGTCCAGAAGTCATTGTAGGGTTACTAGGCTTGGTATCTCTAAATCTAAATTTGCACATGATCACTTGTGTTGATTAATACAAGAAAGATGAGTTTCAGAACTCAGGTTGTAGAAACTTTGCTCAACTGACTGCACTCACTAAGACTATGTTGTTGGAAAGGTCATGGGTAATTGGAGAAGCTCAGTGAATGGAGTTTTATCATAATATGCAATAAAAACAGTATATGACAATCTAAATGTATACCTAGTTTGTGTGTATTTAACCCTCTGTCTGCTAGGAGGCTAGTGATGTGAACCCAAAGCCATCTTTTGCAGTTCCAGCACAAATAAAGGAAATGCTGTAATATGTTACACCTGGTTCAACATTCATGCTTTTGTTTTTGTCCAGCAGTGCAGCCTTGACATGTGTGGCCTCATGGTCTAAGGTGCTGCAACTGGGCAGAGTTGTGTCCCTTGGGCATGCAAGCAACCTTTGACTGTGGGTTCGAATCCTGATTCAACTTGATTATGTTACTTGGTTTGTCAACTCCGTGCCCATCCTCCTAGATTACAGAAACATGATATCTAAGACCTGCATCACTTGGTCTTTCCCCCTCCATGAAGCTGACACACCATGATGTAACTGGAATAAGTTCAAGGTGGCATTAAACCCAGTCTATTACTTACCCAATGCAGGGCAGGGCAGCCATGGCCTCTGAATCTACATAGATGACCACTGCTCCTCTGGCTTGTGCTAGCTTCACACTAGTATGAAAGTACTCGGAGCTTCTCTGTAATTGTTAACATCTGACATATCACGTTCCAGGATCCTAAATCAGTTCCACTTTGTGTAATTGAGACCGACAAGAATGTGGATGGAATAATGCAATGATAAGGAATGTCAAGTGACACACACTATGAAAAACTCCGGTCACACTTATCATGAAACCTTTTAAATGTCTGGTAATTTGGCTTTATGATTAATGTTACTATTGAGAGATCTCTGGCACCTGGCAAACCATGGTGAAAAGGGCAACACGATTATTGGTAGATCACTGTACTGTTGGGTCAATGTAGACATGGATGGGAATGAGATCAAGACTGGAGAGTGAGAGTGGAGGCAGATGAGTGAGTTAGGAAGGGTATGTTTTGGGAGGGGAATTTAGAAGGGAGTGGGCAAGGAGGTAGGTTAGTTAGGAGTGAGTGAGTATGGTTTTATGCGTCTTTTAGCAATATTCCAGCAATATCACTGCACGGGACACCAGAAATGCACTTCACACATTGTACCCATGTGGGGAATCTAACCCAGGTCTTCGACGTGACGAGCACATGCTTTAACCACTAGGCTACCTCACCGCCCCTTGGGTGAGTTAGGAAGGTAGTAGGTAAGGAGTGAGTGTGTTAGGAAGGGAGTGTGGATTGGGTTGGTGAGTTTGGAAGGGAGATGGCAAACAAGTGGGTTAGGGTGTGGGTGAGTTGGGGAGGGATTTTGTTAGGAAGGGTGTGGTTTTGGGTGAGTTAGGAAGAGAGTGGGTGAGTACGGAAGAGAGTGGGTGAGTTGGGAAGGAAGTGGGTGAGTTAGGAAGGGAGTGGGTAAGGAGGTGAGTTTGGAATTCAGTGGGTGAAGAGGTGGGTGAGTTAGGAAAAGAGTGGGGAAGGGAGTGGGTGAGTTAGGAAGGGTCTTGTTTGGAAGGGAGTGGGTAAGGAGGTGAGTGAGTTGTGTTGTTGTTTCTCTCTTGCAATACAATACCAATGATTAGGTTCCATTCGTTGCTAAATGGCTGAAACAATGCCAATAGACATAAACTTCAACTCAATTCAACTCAACTCAACTCGACCATTAGGTATTCTCGGGAGGAGATTGCCATTTTCGGTGAAAGTGTAATTTTTCCTAATGTTTCAGAACATTTTACAGAGACTATGGTCATATCCTTTATGCAATATTTCTGATCCTTAATGGAACTCCTTGCAACCTGGAAGTTTGTCCTACACTCAAATGCATGTATGATACAAGTGTGGTAGCCTTCTTGAATGATATGTGGCTGATGTTTCAGAGAGCTGCTTGAAGTAAGCAATGAGGAGAAGCATCTGGCCTACAACATGCATGGATTTGTCTCCAATGCCAACTACTCCATGAAGAAAGGCACCTTACTCCTCTTCATCAACCGTGAGTACAGCTAGCACATGTACATGGGAGAAACAAGCAGATTGAGGGGCTACCTGGCTGAAAACACTTGACCAGAAAATGAGGCTCTATATATAATGTGACTGTGATTCTGTCATGTAGCTGTCAGGTTGATTCAAGATGTGTCTTGTGACTGTGAGGTTGTCATGTGACTGTGAGACTGTGTCATGTGACTGAGGGTGTGTCATGTGACTGTGAGGTTGTGTCATGTGACTGTGAGGCTATATAATGTGACTGAGGTCATGTGACTGTCATGTGACTGTGAGGCTGTGTCATGTGACTGTAAGGCTTTAATATAGAACAAACTTTATGGATAACAACTTCTTTTTATTCGTGAGTGCGACGTTTCGATACAGATTCATGTACCGTTGTCAATTGACAACGGTACAAGAATCTGTATCGAAACGTCGCACTCACGAATAAAAAGAAGTTGTTATCCATAAAGTTTGTTCTATATTGTACTTCCCAACTTCTAAAATGCCACTCAAAGAAGTTGTCTGTAAGGCTGTGTCCTGTGACTGAGGATGTGTCATGTGACTGGGAGGATGTGTCATGTGACTGGGAGGATGTGTCATGTGACTGGGAGACTGTCATGCAGCACTCAAAATGTTGTGTCTTATGGACATATTAACTGAAGCAAAATGTTGTGTCTTATGGACATATTAACTGAAGCAAAATGTTGTGTCTTATGGACATGTTAACTGAAGCAAAATGTTGTGTCTTATGGACATATTAACTGACGTCAAAATGTTGTGTCTGATGGACATATTAACTGACATCAAAATGTTGTGTCTTATGGACATATTAACTGACGTCAAAATGTGTCTTATGGACATATTAACTGACGTCAAAATGTTGTGTCTGATGGACATATTAACTGAAGCAAAATGTTGTGTCTTATGGACTAATTAACTGAAACAAAATGTTGTGTCTTATTGACATGTTAACTGAACCAAAATGTTGTGTCTTATGGACATGTTAACTGAAGCAAAATGTTGTGTCTTATGGACATGTTAACTGAAGCAAAATGTTGTGTCTTTATAATGGACATATCAACTGACGTCAAAATGTTGTGTCTGATGGACATATTAACTGAAGCAAAATGTTGTGTCTTATGGACATGTTAACTGAAGCAAAATGTTGTGTCTTATGGACATATTAACTGAAGCAAAATGTTGTGTCTGATGGACATATTAACTGAAGCAAAATGTTGTGTCTGATGGACATATTAACTGAAACAAAATGTGGTTTCTTAGGAAATATATTGTACTACATGGACATATTAACTGCTGCAAAACTGTCTATTATGGACATTAACTGACGCAACATATTGTGTTTGACGTACTAATTAATGCAAAATGCTGGCATATGGACATATTAACTGAAGAGGGCACAGAATGATATGTAAATCTTATTGGATGAAAGAAAGTTATTTCAATGTTTGAAAAAAAATATTTATAAACATTGATTTCACATTTACGTTCTGATATACTTTCAAATTTTGGGCAGACCATAAATGGTTTTCCTCAGTCAATCTCTAAATTGCAATTCAAACAAAGAAATCTTGGTTTATGACAAACATAAAAAGATCGCAAATTCTTTATCAGAAAATTTTACGGATTTCCGGGATTTTTGTTTCATTTTGAACGTTTTTGAGATCCCTATATATCTACAAAAAAAGACAGGCTAAATTTTCAGTTTTTATTTTTGTGCTTTGCCGTTCTCATGTCTGCAAAAAAGTTTATGTTTCTATTTTGTTGGTTCAGTGGTCACCTTGCACCACCATGTTCATGCCACGTACACATACATGTTGACATTGGGAGCCACCTGGACTTTGATCACGGAGGATATCACCGACATTTCCTGTGTCTTCTGTCTGTTTCTTTGATGTTTAATTCCGCTGTCAGTCAGTCAGTGAGTGAGTATCGTTTAACGCCGCTTTTAGCATTTTCCAGCAATATCACGGCAGGGGGACACCAGAAATGGGCATTGCAAATTGTACCCATGTTGGGAATCAAACCCAGGTCTTCAGTATGACGAGTCAACGCTTTAACCACTAGGCTACCCCACTGCCCCTCAACTGTCAGTTGTATTCCTGCTTTGTGATAGCTGCCTTTAAATATTGGAGTAAATTGATGTCTTATGAAAGAATTGTTTAGAATCAGTTTGAAAGATTTATGTGTCTTCACTTAGTGCAGAATATCAAATCAAATCCCAAAAAGATAAAAATAACATATGTTATGTACTTTGTTAAAACATTGGACAAAACATTGTTGTACATCACCATGTCTCAAGGGGATCTGGCGTTTGTCCTTGTACTAAATACTTGATATTCTCAAGCAGGAGACACAAGGTGAGTGAGAGCGTAAATGTGATTGTTACATCGAGGAAGTCCCAGGACAGATGAGTGAAGGTTTTTGTACTGTCCTCATGTCGCAGTACTGACGAAAGTCACCATGACTGTGTGCACTGAATACCCTCCGATATCGACAAGCACTACAGATGATGTGATCTTGATGACCCTCACAGCCATAATATAACATACAAAGTCTTCTCTGTTTACTGGGAACACCATAGAGTAATGTTGGGATTTGTCTGAAAATGCTTATCTCAAAATATACTGAGGTGTTTGGGGTGTTTTTTATAGAGGAAGATATTTCCATATATTTTCTGTTGGCTGTTTAAATGTGAATTTTAATCATGGAAGGTTAACTTTAGAATGCTTTTACCCCTATGAAAAAACAACAACTTTTGCGTTAGTATTGTCCTTTAAAGAGTTAACTGCCAGGCCTGGCCCCTCAAAGGGGAACCTAAAAAGACTAGCCGCTGACTGTGGCTTGTCCACATTGTTACATGCCAATCAACAAAGACCTCCAGGGGCATTTAGATGGGTTGCCAAGAGGCTACATGTCAATGAACATCAATCTCTAGACACACATGACACTGTTGCACGGGCTGCCAAAATACTTAATGTCAATCAATAAAGATTTCTGGAAATGATTGACACTGATCATGGATTTCCCAAAAGGCTCCTTGTCAGTCTGCAAGAATTTCAAGAAAAAATTGACTTGGTTACACTGATTGCCCGCAATGCTATGTGTCATTACGTAAGAACCTCTACTCACACTTGACACAGACAGATGGAACACTCACAAGGTGACATGTCATTCCGTCATAATCTTCAGAAACACAAACAGCGTTACATTGTTTGCCCACAAGGGTGAGTAAGTATAGTCTTACGCCACTTTTAGCAATATTTCAGCAATATCACAGCGGAGGGTACCCCACCGCCTTGCCCATAAGGCATTTGATTATGTTATTCCATCATCTTTGCCCACAAACATGTCAGTTCACAAGGATTTCTACAAACATTTGACACTGATTGGTTGCCAAAAGCTACTTATCTATCAACAAGGATTTCTGCAAACATTTGACACTGATTGGTTGCCAAAAGCTACTTATCTATCAACAAGGATTTCTACAAACATTTGACACTGATTGGTTGCCAAAAGCTTCTTATCTATCAACAAGGATTTCTACAAACATTTGACACTGATTGGTTGCCAAAAGCTACTTATCTATCAACAAGGATTTCTACAAACATTTGACACTGATTGGTTGCCAAAAGCTACTTATCTATCAACAAGGATTTCTACAAACATTTGACACTGATTGGTTGCCAAAAGCTACTTATCTATCAACAAGGATTTCTACAAACATTTGACAGATTGGTTGCCAAAAGCTACTTATCTATCAACAAGGATTTCTACAAACATTTGACACTGATTGGTTGCCAAAAGCTACTTATCTATCAACAAGGATTTCTACAAACATTTGACACTGATTGGTTGCCAAAAGCTACTTATCTATCAACAAGGATTTCTACAAACATTGACTCAGATTGGTTGCCAAAAGCTACTTATCTATCAACAAGGATTTCTACAAACATTTGACACTGATTGGTTGCCAAAAGCTACTTATCTATCAACAAGGATTTCTACAAACATTTGACACTGATTGGTTGCCAAAAGCTACTTATCTATCAACAAGGATTTCTACAAACATTTGACACTGATTGGTTGCCAAAAGCTACTTATCTATCAACAAGGATTTCTACAAACATTTGACACTGATTGGTTGCCAAAAGCTACTTATCTATCAACAAGGTTTTCTACAAACATTTGACACTGGTTTGTTGCCAAATACTACTTATCTATCAACAAGGATTTCTACAAACATTTGACACTGATTGGTTGCCAAAAGCTACTTATCTATCAACAAGGATTTCTACAAACATTTGACACTGATTGGTTGCCAAAAGCTACTTATCTATCAACAAGGATTTCTACAAACATTTGACACTGATTGGTTGCCAAAAGCTACTTATCTATCAACAAGGATTTCTGCAAACATATGACTTACCGTGGCATGTACGCGAGGCTACACGTCGGTCCACAAGGATCACACTGAGACTCTTTTATGACTGGCCCACAAGCTTATTGTAAATCCATGGGGACATATTGAAACACTTGGCACTGACCAATTGTCAAGTTAGTTATTTGTTTCTCAGCTTATATCAGGATAAGATATAATTGAACAGAATTACCACTTTTGGTGTAATTTTACAATGTACTGATTATGCCTCCTCCACATCAGAACACATGCTCCTCGGACCTCCCTCTACAACCCTTCCTTCCAATATTTCTCATTTGGTAATAGAAAACTCAATGTAATTCATACCCAGCTAAGATATTCAAATAGTAGATTAAATGGTGATCTATATAGGATCGGTCTCATAGAGAGCCCCGAATGTAATTGTAAATTTACCTGTGAAAATTCTCAACATTATTTTATGGAATGTTCTTTGTATTCTGTTATCAGACAGGAAATGTTTCAAAATATTAGCAGAATTTGTAACATTAAAGCACCAACAAACCTAGACGTACTATTAAATGGAAGTGCAGATCTTCCGTATAGTGACA